CACCCACTAGAAAAACCCTTCGCTATTAGTTTGGTATTCCCTCTCTTCGTCTCAAAACAACCAAGATACCCTTTGTTGTTTTCACTCAAGGTACATCTGATACGCTCCTTCTGAGTGGATATTGTGTTATCAACACATACACACACGATAGTACATCAGTCATTGTATAGTGCTATCTGGATCCAACCAGATTATCGGGCTTCGCCATTTATATGCAGGACAATCTGACGTTCACTGTTACCGGTTTTGCTGCTGTTGGGATTGAACTAGGAGTCGATGGTCGACAGTCACCTGTGTATCAGTGTGTTTAACCCATCTTACTTAGTTGTTCCCCAGTTATTTTCCCTAGCTTACTTAAACAAGAAATCAAAATCTTACGCCATGGTCTGAACATTATAGGCCGCGTTTCTTGTTTCTGTGAACGAGCTATTTGTGAAACTTGTGAAGTATCATACAATCTCTTGTGTCACCCTGGTAGAGAGGATTCTCACAGATCCTGATCCTCATAGCACGCAGAAGTGGCACATCGTTCCTATCCCTTCACATGTTCTCATTTCCGCCAGATATCATCTCGCATAAACGCTTACCGAAATTTGCCTATACCCTATCTTGCACGTTCACTCACAAACAGAGGGTAACAAGTGAGCTTCGTCTTAAGCTTGGACTATGAAATGTCCCTGTCTGTAAATATTTTTCCCGTTGAATATGTTTTTCTGTAGCGGTTGGCGTTTATAGTTTTTAACTGAAACGTAAGCTTCAGTACTTCTATTATGCATAACACAATACAATACAAATAGCGCCCACTATGCGCCGTAAAGCGGATGGTTTCGGTATGAGTAAACATTAGGAGAATGAAACAACACTGGTTTTTCATGGTGCCGCGTAAGCGCTGACTGATGGTAGTTCACCACAGGTTAAGGGTAATTTTCCACGGTGATGTCCTTTGATGTCCTTGAAGCATTTGAACAACGTAGTTGTCGTCGGCGACTTTGGCGCTCCGGTGGGATTCTTCAAGAAAGCAGTCGGATAAATAGGCGACAAGCTCACAATCTCCTCCAACCGAGTAGAAAACGGTGCAGACAAAAGACAGCAACCGAAACCGTCGCATGGAAATGCATAGTTATTGGTTGTAAAAACTGAAACTAAAACCTTGTGCGAATGTACCATCATGCATGCACAAAACTCGTCTGCCGATTTGAGATATCCTTAGTGCCGCCGAGATATTCGGTTGTCTGTGAAGGTTAGTGCATAGTCCATCCGCTCAGTGGACTACCCTGAATTGTGTAGGGATGTTCTTTGCGAGAAGAATATAAACGCTGACATTCGATTCCATCACCTTTATCCAAATACCATTGCACAAGTTTGGTGGGGAAACCAGACCAGCAATGCCAGTGATAGGTTATCGCACTCACACAATTGCTCGATCAGCCTAAATGGTGACAGCTGAAGAATGGGATTCGAATATCATTAAATGAACTTCCTCGGGGTGTGATGTATGCAGAAGCAGGTGATGATGAGCAGGTTCAGACACGAAACTGTTAATTTGTGTGGGGTTGTATGCCGTCATGCGGGATGTTAGATTTATAGGTTTGAGATCAGCCTAATCAATGAGTGGTGCTTATAAACTAATTTACATTCTGTACACATTTATATTGCTCATTCTACATTTTCGTATCGCTTGGTTTACCTCTTTTCCTCATTGAGTGACTTGAAGGATAACTAAAAGTCAGTAACTGAAACGGGAACACGAAAGTGCAAGTTTTTTGGTTATTAAAGGCGAAAACTGTGTATTCCCCAGGAAAATTCACCTGACCTAAGCAACCTGGCAGTACTAAGTCCACAAAAAAACCATGAAACTTCCTTTTTTATGAAGATTATTGTACTGTGTTTTATTTGGCACATACTCTGGATTCAGGCGCGTGTGAAATGCATGCATACATATACATACAAAACTGAGAACAGTTCGATAAAATGGAAGTGAATATTGAAGAGAAAGTTCTGCTTACCGTGTGTTTTAGTGTTTGTTTTCCACTTATGAGATCTGCATTCACTATGGTTGTACCATAACGACCGCGACCGACAGCATTCGCCCGGAGTCCAGCCCGATTGCGTAAACGTGGAGCGAACTCTCCTCGCGCTTGTCGATCAGTGTAATCTTGAAGAGCTTTTGTGAAAAACTCATTACTCAGGGCCGACGGATGCAGCCAGACGGATTCATCTTCCATGGTTGCAACCAGCTTAGCTTGAGCTCGTGGACCATCCTCCACATATCCATTTGTGGAGGGTTGGGTAGGCCAAGACTGCTTCTGCCTGTCATAATACGGCAGAAGATCGGCTAGCATTCTTTGCGTTTCAATAGGAAATTCATAGAATGTATCCCGATTGATCAATGCCTGATCGAAATCAAAAAAGACGAAAATACAAGTAGGAAATCGGGAATACGCCTCGGTAATTTTTCAAGCATTACAATGGAACAGCGAATCAGAGCATCTAGTAAGAAGACGTGAGAAACTATCCACTGGATTCGATACACGTCAATAACTGAACAACCGTAACAGTCGCCGCATATTCCTGGTTGCTAATGAAAATAACTGATCTTACATCCTTCGACTGGATAAGCACTAGTGGAAAAAATTGACGGTGGGCTGCAGCCGATCACGTGCTGTCTGCGGAAAGAATAGAAAGAGAAAATTTAGGCAACTTAGGCGATATTCGACTTCTCA